TTGTCAAAGCAGTAAGCACACTTTGCTCCTAAAGAAAAGTTTAGAGATACTTATCTCTAGGCTGTTTGTTTTTCTACCAGGTTAGGTAAGGATTTCAGCTTTTTGCAAAACCCTGCAGATTTTAAGACACCTGAAAAATATCACAGCCAAAAAAGCAAAACTGAAGACTGAATAATCTAAGTGCATGTGACTTATTAAGTAAAGATGGTCTGAGGTTACAAAAGAATGAGTTGTAATTAACTAAAACACTATTTTTCTAATTGGTAAAAAGTTTCTATAGATAATATACTCCTGAGTGTGTCATACACACCTGCCTAGTCACACACAAAAAGATGTGACCTAGGGCCTGCTTCAGCTCTTATACAGCCAAATATCCACGGGGAGGATGTAAGAGCTCTGTCTCACAGTACTTTAGTTCCTCTGTCTCTGCAACATTCCAAGCACAAAGTGGTGGCAGAGAGCCAGAAGCACAGCTACAAACCCACCAGCTACCTAAGCACGTTTATTTGTGAATACTCTTGTTCTCTTTAGAATTCTGAGAGATTGCTTAGAGGTATAATCCTAATAAGATGAAAGTCTGGAAAGTATTATTTACATTAGGAGAGCAAGACTAAATACAGCTGAGCTCTCAAGAAAGAACTGCTGCCTAAATATCCAAATCAAACTCCACACAGCCAAGATATCTCTGACACAGCTTGGCAGAGGTCACTGCAGGCTCAGGGTAAGAATCCTCTCCAATAGGGGATGTAGATCAACAAGATAGTTCAGATCATAAGACCCCTTCAAAAATCAATATCCTGATCCTTCCCACTTATTATACTACACTTTGCACCACACAGCAGTATTAGAATGCATAAACTGGATTCTTTTCAGATTAAACTGAAGATGTAGCTCAGGTCTCCAGCTGCAAATGGGAATTCCATGGCATCAGACTAGAATCAGTCTGAAGTGACACCTTGTCAAAAGAAATATGGGGTGTGTTGAACCTCCCTCAGCAGCAAGTATTTTTCTCTACAAATATCTTCTTCTCAAGCCAAATCATAGATTCACCTTAACCTTATAAGTTAATTTTTACCATTAAAGTATCTGATTTTTGGGGGGTGGGGGGAGGCAGTGTGGAGGTGAGAGGGAAGGTAGCCTCTACTGGACTGTAGGTTCTTTATGAAGGGATGATAGACAATATTACCTTCACCTTACTGGTACTGCTGACTAGAGGTAGGATGTACACTGGATGAAGACTTCAAAAATAGATAGTGTTAAACATGTTCCATGTTAATTGTTTGAAATTATACTAAGGTTTTGAGAAATTGGATGACAACAGGCAAGCAGAAATGGGTAAATTGAAAATCTGTTGCCCACAGAATGCAGAAGATCATTAAAAACCATGTAAAATCTTAGAGTATGCCTTAAAACCCAGACAAGTTTTCCCAAATACAGTAAATAATAAAGTGCAGCTGACATGTAAACAGATCTTAAAGCCATGTAAATTGCCAAAGAGAAATTTTCTTCTTTGCTGAATTCTGTTTTATGGAGAGTTTAAAAGTTACTAATCAAACGAAAAAATAAATGCTTTTCATTTCTGTAAGTGATTTCATATCACAATAGCTCTTAAAACATCCATGAAGTTTTCTCTTCCTCCAAATGAAAGTGGTTTTCTCCATTCTGAAATGGATGCAGTATAGTCTATGCTTGAAAATCAATGCCAATATATTGAAGTTAGTTAAAACTGATGTTTTAATGACATTTTAATGACATTTCCCACTAGCAAAAGTCTTTGTACAGGTGCCATTACATGAAACTCAGGAACTCAGCTGAACTGTCAAAAACACTTTTTTGCAAGTACAAACTGCATCAGCTCTAGGAAGGGACACCCACATAGTGAGGAAAAGTCTTTATTCAAATATAGTCATGCAAATAAACCTGTAGGTATCACAAGGGAGCATCAGTGAGTGATACTGCCACACTAGAACTGGGAGCACATATTTCAGGAGAGTCTATAGTCAGACTGTTCAAGTTCCTAAGGCGCAGGTCCACGTGAGAAAAAGAGGTAACAAATTCTTTTCAGCCAGAATTTCAGCCTCCTACTCTCTCATATCAACATATGCAACGAGGATATTTCAACTCATATCCTCAACTCGGTAGCAAAGCATGCAACAAGCATTTATATAGAGAGGACTGTCCTCCAGACCCCACAGGTTCCACAGTCAGAGACCCATGTCATCTCAATGCATAATAAATCCTAAAGGATGGTATACAAGACCTACAAGTCGTATTAGGTCTAGATAAAAGCAAGTTCCATGCTGAAACATAGCACTGGGAAGAATATGGAACACATAGGGGAATCCCTTGCTTAGAGGTATTGTCTTTCTCATAAAGAAAACTCAGTAGCAGAATCTGTGTAAACACCTGTTTCTGATTAAAGGACTGCAGAATGAGTGATGCTGTCTGTGGTTTAGTAGGGGGGAAAATTACCTTCCAAGCACCAAGCAAGGTTTGAGGTGACGAGACCTCTCTGTGATGTGGCTGCTAGATGAAACCCCTTTGCTTTGGTAGCTTGTGGTTAGAAGCAGCTTAAAGAACAAATGGCTAGAGGTACGGGAAGAAATGCTTCAAAAAACTGCACACAGTGAGGTGATGCTTAGAGGGAAAAGATTCATATGAATGTTAAAGGTTATCAGAAATAATCTTTCAAAAACTTAATCCTTCAACTCATCAGTTTTTTCTCTAGTTCTCAAAATTCCATCATGGAGAACGATCCCCACCCTGCTTCAAAAGCCTTTTTGAAAGTCAGAATTAATTTTGTGCTTAGCAGTTCACCTCACATACCTCTGGAAATCAGTTCCCTGCTACACAACTGTTCTGTAACTTCATCTGTTTTCTGCATGTAAGTCATCTAATAAGGTAACTGCAAGGATATAGGGCAAAAGTATCACCTCTAGTAGGCTCTGCTTTAGGGGTGAGAAGATTTCTGTGTTTACAAACATAAGATAAAGTACCAGTTAGAAATGCAATTGTGAGAAACTAGTCTGTGTTGAACTTTAGCAAGGTTGTTGCTGGCGATGTCCCTATACAAATATGATAAACAAGTGTTTCATTTCACTTGGAGCATTTCCATTTATGAAGATACTCTCTTTCCTGGGAAGATTATTCAATTGCTGGACTTTCTGCTGGCCCTGAAAACCTATGGCACATAATTTAGTTTTGATTCAGCATACAGAGAATCAATTTAATTCTTTATATTGATTACCTTGGTGCACTTATGATTACTGCATGTTTGGACCTGGTTGGTATTGTTGGCAATCTAACATTCCCCAAGTGCAGTAAGGCTGGTGCAAAATATCTGTCCTTATTAGGCAATTTCCTGTGCTAAAAGACAGTACAGAAATATCATCCAGTCTATGGAATATAGCTTCATTCCACTTTAATACAAGCCTCTCTGTATAAAACACATTTTTAATACTTGCAGAAGCTGCTTAAGCTATCTTCCAGTGTGCAGGGAATCAGATAGCATATCTTCCTTGCTCTGAATAGCCTTGTTAATAGACACACAATTTCCACAACTGCTTTTATCACCTATTATTCAATTACCCACTGTAAGATTTGTGTGTTCACTCCCTTCTCCTCTGTTTGCACTGAATTTTATCATCAGGGTGGTAGTTTGCTTCTCTCCTTTTCCCCCAGGTGGTTTGATTACTTCCAGGCTGGTATCCAGGGGGAGACTTGAGAACCATCTCAGCTACAGAAGTGGACTGTTAAGCAGTTTGCCTATTCCCAGGCTGAAGTCAAGAGTTCATGCTATGAATTAAGCAAGAATTAAATGCTTATGTATCAACTAATACTGATGAAGTTCAGTCTGAGGCTTCAAGAGTTAATATCTCATCATCTTCTTGATATTATCCCATTGCTAATATGGTTTGCTCATTGAGTTCCTGAGGGTGGGGAATGAGAGGAACTTGTGAGTGGCCTCTGGTTTTACCAGAGTACAAGGGAGGAAGTCTGGAGTGGCTGAAATTCCCCCTTGCACACAGATCCAGGTGAGTGGTGAACAGGCTGCTTTCAAAAGCAGAACCTGTGGCACATGGGCATAGACTGAAGGGGAACAAACCAGACAAAGAAACTTCACTTTTCCAAGACACTAGTAACTAAGTTCAAGGCGAGAAGGCATTTTGCAGAATGAGAGCCCTCTCCTCTTGTAGCCAGGCCCCATCCCCTACATCCTGCCCCATGCCTCACTCCCCTGTGCCACTGCCAGAGCCTGCAAATGAAGGGCATTTGTTCAGTGCAGCCAAATGCAAGCAGAAGACTGGGATAAAGAGAGGGGAGAAAATCAAGTGAGCAGAGCTAACACAAAATCTCTACAAAGTATTTCTGCACTTGACTCTTTGGGCAGGAGTCTACAAATCTATTATTCACTGTTAAAGGCACTCAGGACCCGAGGGAAGTCATCGTGAAGGACACGTAATACTTTCCCCTTTTTCCCACTCACTTTCTCCTTGCAGGAATCATAAAAGAAAAGAGTTCACAAGAAACAAATAAGAGGACAAAGTACCTTGCACTGAGTCTAGTCTCATGCAAAGCTGATGACAAAAGTCTCATGGGCATAACTTCAGTGTTTTGTATAAAAAACTGTGTATTTGAAACTGCATACTCTTTTTTCCCTTCTTGCTAAATATTTCCCATAATTTCAACACAGGACTATTATTAACTGGCAAGTCTATGCCACTGCTCTGGCCTCACAGGGGCAGTCAGGACGGTGTCTTTATGTTTTACCCTCAAACCTGAGGGCAGCAGGGTGGTTATGGCTCACACACAGTGGGAAGCACACAGGGTGCTGCACCACGCTCTTGTTTGCTGATAGCAGGCCCGGGCTCTGGGCTGCTGATTATACAGCAGCACCTGTCCATGGCTGGGGCAGACTTCCTGCTACAGCGCCACAGCTCCCTGAAATGAGATTTATGCAAACTGGCTCAAGTGTGATGTCACAGCGCACTGATAGACCCAAGGGCTATCTGCCTTCTACAGACATTTGATAAAATCAGGAACTTCGCATACAACTCGGGAAGAAGTTCACCTCAGAACCTACTAGGGCAAACTATGAAAACTTGTTAGGGTCCTCCAATCCTGAGATCCACCACTACTAAGGGACTTCACAGAGTCCGAGGATCTCACTTTTTTCTTTTTTTTTTTAATTTTCTTTTTTCTTTATTTTTCCTTTTCCCCCTCCCTAATTTTTTTTTAATATGATTTTTTGCAAGTCAGTTACTCTGGATGTTTGAAAACTGAATTAAGAAAAATTCACTCAGAAGTTGGCTGAATGTTGCAAGCTTGCAAGATGGAAGGATTTCCCCTTATTCCCCCTGTGAGTATATGGATTTATTTGTAATATGGATCATTGGGTTCAGACGCAAACAACAAAGTAAACCAGGTTTTGTTATTTACGAATATCTCTGTCTTGGTCTGTATTTGTAATGCCAGGAAGTTTGGCTTAGGTCAATATATAAAACTAGTGACAATGCTGCAACGAAAGGGAAATTAACATTTCCCCCCCAAAACGTGTATCTGATTTTGATCTCCATTTGTTTTCACAGATTAAATGTATGGTATTTTTGTACAGGACGTTTATAGCAAGTCAGTAAATCTCTTTCCTTCAGTGCCACCTACGTGATATAAAAGCTGTCTTTCTTCAGATTGTAATTCTTAATCATCTGAAGGCTCTGACATAGTTATCTATTTCAGTGTCTACTAATCTGTGAGAGAAGAGTTGTTAAATTGTTGATTTGCAGATTGCAGATTGCACGTTGTTGATTTACATATTACAGATTTTAGGACTCTGCGTTCTTTGCAATGATAGCATTTTAGTTTTTAACTCAATCTTTTCTTGAACTAAATTCTCTTGAATTCACTGACTATGAAAAAGCAATTGGCAAATGGGAAAAAAACTCATGGTCCTTATTTGGGTCTTTCAATGTTTTCTCTGAGATATAAATTTTTCTGTGTGCTTATGGGGCAAGTCTATCCTTTCCTTAACTCTGAGCATTGTTGCACTGCTATAATTTATCATATGGTGAGTTCAAAAATTATTATTTATGAAGAAAATAATATCACTAACCTGTTGTTCACAAACCAGCCTTAATGGGAAATCTCTCAGCACAATGGGTACAAGAGGCCTTAATTAGATTTCATCAAGCTTGTAGAAGCTGAAGAGGTGTCAGATAAGGTGGTTCACTTGCCTTTTTATGTGGTAGATGGCTTACAGTAATTGCTATGCATGTGCCAGAGAACTGAAAGGGACAATGCAGATCCGAGGGCTTTTTAACAAAACCTGGTATCGAGTTTTGGTGCTGCCTTGTCCCATCTAATGAAGACTAAAGACATTTCTTATCTTCCATCCAGAAAGACAGCCCTTTGAATTCCTCTCGTGTTCGGAATTCATGATGACTGAAAGTATTTATCTTATTTTTGGGGAGACCCTTTATTTTCTAAGTTTATCATCAGTGTCCCTGAAATCACCTATTACCCAAAGGGTGAGAAGATCCTAAAAATAACTTTTCTTTTTCTTAAATACACAGAATTTCCCAATGGGTCTGCTGTAAGTGCAACTGAATAGAAATCTGAATAGAAACCAAGAAATAAAAACGTATATAGAGATTTCTCAGTATGTTACTTGTTGGGCTTAAAAAAAGTAAAATTAGAAAGAAACATAAACCTTGTGCTTATCTTCCCCATAAAACTGCACCCCCATTAAAAAACCCCCAAAACAATTGTTAATTTTCTGTCCATTAACTCATAGCCAAGTTTTCTTTCATTTTTTTTCCCCAGTGTTGAATTCCAAGGCATATGTTGAATAAATTGAGTGAAAAGCTAACACAGTTTGGCCCATATTATAACTTGTGTTGCATTTAATATTCTGTCTGAACTGTGTTCAGATGGGTGATACCACTGGCAGTGAAAACACAATTACATCTTACTGAAGCACTTGACAGGGCAATTCGATTTTTATTTTTGTGATTAAACTGTAAAAAAATTAACAGTTTTGTGGTGTGTGCTTCCAAATTTGCTTTAAGTGCACTTTGAGCACTGCCAGCTAGAGCCCTGCATGTCTGTGTCTCCTGGGACTTTTTCAGTGGGGAGACAAGAGCCTGTTCCTAGGCAGGGGTTGCAGCAGCACTTCCCTCCTCCACCCCTCCCCATTCAGTTGAGGGTGGGTCAGTAACTGATTTCTCTTGCCTGTGCTAGGAAATTGTTACCCTTCAGTTGGAAAATACAGTTTAAATGGTTTGGGAGTACTGCATCTTCCTCTGGAGATTAGGAATTCTGTGGGGAAAAGTTCTGCAGACTGTGTCTGCCTTCCAACACGTGATAGAATTGTGTTATGGTTCAAAAAATCATTAAGTCAAACACCTTTGCCTGAAGAGGGTTCCAGTTGTGTATGAATCCTTAAGTAGCCACCTGTAGAAATCACAGCTCTGAACGAAGTATTTTTGCATGAGAGCAAAAATGCCCCACAGAAGTATTCTGTTCCACATAGCTGCATTGTCAGCACGGTCCAGTGAGGCTGGCCCGATGAGTAATCGTGCTAATATTTTTACTCATCTTTTCTAAAATAGTTATACTGTAATTTTTTTCCAAGGAAATACAGTTAATCTTGGCCTTAAATCTTGTCTCAGCAGCACATCACTGGAAATTGTCTGAAGTATTTTTGAATCACATGCCAGTGAATAGTTTTATCAAGATAATAAAAATATCATCATTTAGTGATTTTACAATTTCCTGGAATCATCTGACAAAGTCTTGGGCAGTAACAAGATTTTCAGACTGCTATTCAGTTGAGCTCAGTGTGTCTCTCTTAACCAGTGCCAACTGAGCTTTCTCTGACTGGTTTTGTGGCTTCTCCTTTGAGTTTCAGGACAAAAATGGAAGACTGAAGCCACTCTTCATTTATCAAAGTCTGTGACAGAAAGTATTGTTTGTTGACCTCTCACACTTGAGGGTAGAATACTGTCTTAGATAGTGTATTGCACCTCATGGCATGCATGAAAGCAGAAACCAGCTTTAGACCACAACTATGGGATCCTAACAAAGCTTTCAGTCACTCTTTTACGTGGAAAGAACCGATAGAACAAATGGCCATTGACATCAGTTAAATATTAAACATAAACTATTCTTTGCTTTTTGTCAGGAGTAACAAAACAGTTCAGTGTCATGGAAGTGCTGTCAGTAAGATGATGAAATGGGTGTGGGTGGGGAGGTTCCAGAGAAGGACAGGGCAAGTGGGTAAAGACTGGCACAAGAGGCAATAGCAGTACATGGTAAAACCACTTCTCTCTAATTAGAGAAAACATTTCTAAAGAATTTTTTCTTAAAAATAAACCAAACCAAAACAACAAACCAACGCCCAAAAAACCAGAAAGCAATTAAAAACAGGTTATTGGAAATGGCCTCTGAAATAAATAAAGGGAAATAGCCCACCTTCACATAGGATAATTAGAGAGAATACATTCTCTTCTATGTCCTTTAACCACCACCCGATCAGGTTTATGATAAGTAGAATTTTTAGTATTTAATATACATCTTGCCATGTCAGTTACTGTGCCCTTGAAGATCAGACACAAAGACAGAAAGCACTGGCATTACAAGTCCTTTGTGGGGTCCATTGGTCCAGTTGCATGAGTTAACAAGGATATACATACACAGGTTTTATCAAAAGGATCACTGGACAGAAAACAAATCCAAGGACAAAAATTCCAAGAATCTATAATAAAGAGGTTTTAAGCCCCAGACTTTCAAACCAGAGTTTATGGTACCCCAATGCCCTATGTAAAAACGTTTTTAGAAACTGAATATCTACAACTCACTCTGCAGTCAGTCAGATCTGTGAATATTAAGGGAATCGTCGTTTCAAGAGTATTTAACACACCTCCCTTTAGCTCTGGTCATTGAACATACATCTGTAAAAGTAGCTTTTGAATGGTAAAATACTTCATTCTCAGCTGTCAGGCTGTGAGACACTGTTGCCTGTTAATGTATGTTGGTCTGAAGTGGGGGGAGTTTGGAAACTGAGAAAAGAAAACAAAGGAAAAGCACAATTAGGAAAAGCCAAACCTAAAATACGTATTGTTTATCTGCTTTTGGACCAATGCTTGGCCTTCCTGCCAAGCTATACTTCTGTAAAGATATGAGTGACAGATGTTTTGTTTTATCAGTAAAAATTTTAGCAAATTAAGCCTACATTGACAGGATACTGATTTCTTTCGAAATTACTTTACTTTTGCCTAAAGAGTTATCAGCGTTAAAAACGTCAACACATTTAGGTATTAACTTCTTAATAATTTCGATCAGTTTCTAGCATTTTAGTTGAGAAGAAACAGAGGTTTTTCTTTCAAATAATGTACATTTATATGAGTTTTTAACCACCTTTTTCCCAACTAATATATATGCATTTTCCATTTAGATGTTGACATTTCCCCTTTCACAGAACATGAGTGCTTTCATTTGAATTATAGTAATTTATAATACTAATTATAAATTTAGTTTTTAATTTATAATATAAATTATAATAATTTTAAATTCTGAATATGAAGGCATAAGTTTATGTATTTAACAGGAAACATATATTTAAGGACAGGAAATGAGGGAGTGGGATGAATTAATTTGCAAAGATAATGAAAAGGAGAAATTCCATTCAGAACTTTATCCTAAAGAAAGCAAAATAAAAGCTCATTACTTTTTCTTGTCAGAGATCAGAGTATGCCAAAGGTCGAAGGAATGAAGATGAGTAAATATATATAACCACAGAGAGAACACCAAGAAAATACATAGAGAAAAAGCATACTCTTCTTTGACCACCCCCCTAAAATCTGGAAAATAGGTTATGCTTCCCATTGTATCTCTATGTGAATAAAGGGCAATTCTTTTGTAATCACATAGATTTGGAAAGCTGTACCTACAGTACAGCTCTGGAGACCAGAGAAGAGTCCTGCCACTGCTATTCCTGCTGTGGATACAATTAAATGATGACTTGTCCCTTTTCCTTAGTCTTTGCCCCAGATAGCCTTTATTGTGGGTTATCATCTTCCCAAGATTTCCCCAAAGGAATTATCTACCAGCACCAGTTATATCTGGAGCTTGTAGCCAGGTGATGGATCTTCTCCTGAGGCTTTAAATATTCCATGGATCTGACTCCCAGTCAGTGTGTGTGCTGAAAGTCATGAAGTTTGAGACAATCTTACCCAGTGCATTTTAATGATACACTAATGTAACACATGGCTCCTACTATGGATTTACCAAGTTCCCAAGTAATTTCTGAAAGCATTTTGTTGGGGTGGTTTTGGTATATGTTCTAACATCTTAACCCTCAGAAAGAGACAACCTTTAAATCCCCAAATTCTAACAGAATGAACCGAAGAAGTTAACCAGAAGAATTAAAGAAACCAGAAAAAAAAAAAAAAGTCCTTTTCTTTAGCTAGCTGCTTATCTACCATCTCCATCTGGATTTTAGTGGCAGCTGCTACCTTATGTTCCATGTCTCAGGCAGTCTAGAGGAGTAAGAAGAAGAGAAGCTCTCCTGTACTTCTGTCATGCTGTCACCATGGCATAAACTTTAAAAATGCAGATGTTCCAAAAATGTGACAGGTTCATGGAGGGAGAGAAAGGATTTGGGACATACAGAGAGGCATATGAAATGTAAGCACTAGAAACACGCCCATCATTTAAGTTATCATGTTATTTTAAATATTTATCCTTCAAAGTTAGTTATGATGGAGTCATTAATAGAATTAATTTTTTTCTATTAACACCTAGAAATACTAAAAATAATTTCCTTAAAAAAAAAAAAAGGCAAGAAGGTGATTGAGTCTTCGTTTGCAGTTGACAGCACAAGAATTTGTTTAGATTGGAAGGAAATACTGTAACAAACTCAACTGGACTAAGGTTTAACAAAACCCCGTGACTGACACTGTCTTCTCTTATTCTTCCTTCTGGAAATAAACAAGAAGGAACATTAAATGAAGCAACAAAATTGTGCACAACTAATAATAAACAACCTTTATGGTGACAACGTAAGATCTTAATCAGTATTCACACTGGAATACTGGGCCTGAGGAGGAAGAGAAGTGGGCAAGTTACCCTATGTCACCTGCTTTAAGAAGATAGAGCAGTTATACAGCTAAATATCCAGCAGGTCACAACTCACTATTTGCCCCACATTTTTAAGTCTCACTGTGTGTATCTAAAAGCCCTGCACAGTTGATTTGAACCAGCAAACATTTAGAGACCACCTTGGACAGTAACTGAGAAAGAAAATGTGTTTATGCCCTCTGTCAGCCTCACTACCCTCTGACAGACTGCCCCCATTAAGTCAGGCCCTGTAGAAACAATCAGACTGTGTTTAGGCAAGACAAGTTTCTGCTTTCTCTTTGTGTGCAGGCATAATCATCATCATCATCAATAAAAGTAAATGTCTGTTACTACCAAAGAAAACATTTCACCTTTACTTGAGCCTAATATCTACAACAGCTCTATAGCAGTATCCTCAGAAGGCAGGAGTGTGTGATACAAGGGATTTCTCTATTACAATTAGACAAGTTCTGCTACACAGGCTGGATCTCTTTTCTTTTCTACTGGGATTACTCTTTTATTTTTTCCCAAAACCAGTGTTTGGCATCACGCATTTTATTCCTGCTGATTCAATAATAACTTGAAGTGTCCCCTTTCTTTCCCTAAGCAATATAAAATGGGTTGGCATCAGCCCTACACTAACTATATGAATAATTTGGAAAGGATTTGTGTAAACTTGCTGTTCTAAAAATTCCTCTTCTTTTTACAGCCCTCTGAAGATATGGTACCCTATGAGTCAGACCTCTACCGACAGCCCCATGACTATTACCAGTATCTCAACAGTGATGGAGAGAGTCATGGTGGTAAGTCAAAAAATATCTCCTTGGAGCATAAAGTTACCACAGGAAATGGATACAACAAAATAACCAATCTATTTCTGTGATCTATAAAGTATAAGAACACATTTTTAAATCAGGAACAAAAAGTATTTTATTAATAATATAATATTATTATATTACTTGTTCCAATTCAGCAACTGCAACATGGTTTCACTGAAAGAGCATTTTAAAAACACTCTATGATGCAAGGGGTTTCCAGGAAAGTGGGATCTCATTATCTCTTTCATTATCTTTACTGTGTTTTTATTTTCCACTGCAGATCAAAAGCATTCAGCTTGCTTCTCAACTTTTTGAGAGCATGGATTTGTAACACTGTATTCCTCTGCTTGTATTCCTATGTCCAATTCCCATTTTACTTAGGTCCTAGATAATCTATTTGTGCTTTTATTCCAATTAGGTTTCTTTGGTATTTAGCCTTTTTCAACTGCATATATTTTTCTCTTTCTTTTCAGCTCTATTGCATGCTGCCACACCTAACTTTAACTTTCACTCTTCCTCCAGTACACCCAAGCACTTCCTCTCTCCAAATCTATGTAAAACTTCCTTGTACCTGTCTGTAGGTAAAAATAGCTCAATGTAAAAATGCTGTATGATTATTTATCACTTCAATTTAGGCATGTGATTTCAAAGCTTTGGTGTCTATATTTTAATGTTGTTTGGGCTCTAAATCGATGCAGACGTGAGAGTCTTGATTTGTGAATTTTGTCTGCTGTGCAATACAATGGTCCAGCAACAGCACCCTGGAAATACCAGAGTCAATATTGACTCAGGAAGGAAAAGCACCGTTCTGCTCTATTACTGGTGGCAGTCCCTGCAGATCCTGGAGTTTCCCTGAAAGATTCCCACTGATACAGCAACTAGGCCCATTGCTGTTAAAATTTAAGACATGAACTAAACATAGGACAGCACTGTTTTGTCTGTGGCAACAGAAGCTGTCTTAAAGAGCAGTGAGTTACTGAGTAAGATCGCTCTGAGTGTTTAGCTGAAAGAGACTCCTGCCTAAATTTGTTCTCTACACTTCAGGAAACACCTATGATATTCCTAACACCTGAATACAAAGAATTAATTCAGTTTTTATAAGTTATCTCATGGCATCTGTCAAGTCCCATTAATCAAACTCAGCAAATTCCACATGGAAATTCAGGGTTTTTACATTACACCCCTACCTGTTTGCACACTCATAAAACAGGATAACATTGATTATCTCAAAAGGCAATTGAGACAATTAAACAATAAATATAAAACATGCCATGTAGGATAAAGAACTGGGAAATAACTTTTCTGTCATTAAGTCTAGGCTACCTCAAGCAAAACCATCCCTTTATCTTTCATAATTTTATCACCCCATCTGGTTTACTGCCCGTTTTTCTATTGAAAGCCTGTCCCTAAGCTGTATTTCTCAGATCACTTGCATGATTTTACTCCTCACAATGAACACAGTAAAAACTGGATAGTGACCTGTATAGGTTATAGCCTTAGCAGTACAAAAACAGAACTTTAAACAGAAATTTGTCTGAAGTTGTGCTACACTTGTCCTAAAGAATGCAATATTTTTAACTCCTACAGTAAGCGCTTATGGAAGAGATAAACTAAACCCAGCCTACACATTCCAATCAAATTTTTATTTATGAAAGCACCTATAATGTAGTTGGCTGTGTTTAAATATCTGTGCCCTGTCCTGTCCTGAATTGCTCACAGTCCAAAAGAGCGATGAGCAACCAAAAAATACAGATGGAAACTAAAACCCACAAACTATTGCAGTTTCTTTCTTTCCAATAAACATTGAAAAACCCAGCTTTGGCTTTCATTTTGTTTGTGACAGAGCTATAGAGTCTTGAGAAGAGCCAAACAGAAGAGCAGGAAAAGGATGCCACAAAGTACATTTAGAAATATGTACTAAGTGTTCAGAACAAAGTGGGTAAAGGCACAATGATTGAAAAATTGAGGGAGAAAGGAATAAAAAGGTGCTGCCATGACAGCAGTGAAAGAGACAAGAACCTGGTTAAATAGGAGGATAAAAAGAAGAAATAAGAACAGAATTGTGAGACAGATGTTCAGCTTGGGGTACAGTGAGATCACTGACAATACATAAAAATATTTTTGCAGGTCTACTCCGTAGCACTATGCACCTTGATACTAGCAGTTAATGCAAATAGATGCCACTAGACGGACTAATACTTCTGATTTTGCTGACAAGGGACTGTTAAAGAAATAGGAAAATTTCCTGAGGTGTCAGGCTACCTTTCTCTCCCTGCTAGAAAATTAATTTTGTGAAAGGGAGATGGCAATGTCTTCATCTGTAGATTTGTGCTACATGCATTACCGTCCCTTTTCCTCAAATATAGTAGTGAAAAAACCCTTACTCCATATGTACACAAATAGGTAGTAAAGTCCACCAAAAAATCTGTAGATCTGGGCCAATAGTGAGTAACATGTAGGAAATCATTTCCATAAGTGAACACTGAAAATAACAGGCAAAACCACAACATGATATGTTGATCACCACAAGTGCTGTGTGTGATTATTTTCTGTACTGCAGAGTAACTATGTTTTAAATACTGTAATAAACACAGGGACACAGTCATGCAGGACAGAAGCTGTTTTGAGTGATCGTGTATTAGTCCATCACCCTGCCCTGAGCTTGTAAGTCTGTAAGCATAACACAGCATATTTTGTAACATCAATGCAATCTTAGTAATTGCAAAATTTCACTGCATCTTTGTCTCTATGCTATTACCAAACATTATAGGTTTAGTAAAAATTGCTTTTTGTATGAAGCTGAGTGCTGACCCTTGTTCCCTTCATTGCTAGCCTCATGGAACCTACTAGATTTCTTGATCTGGGATTTTATTTTTGTCCCACATCCTGGAGTAACATGACCATTTAGGAATCTCACCTTTAATTTTATCAGCCCACATACAAGTGGAGGAAAGTCCAAACATATGAACCTTAGTCTTAAATGCTATATGAAAAAGAAAGAATTCCAAACTTCATTTAAGAAATCCCCTCCCTTCAAAGCTATTCACATGATTTGATGGGGCGTGACCCATAGGCTTTTGAACATTTGCATAATTAAAGTCATGAAGTTTGTGAAGCGAGAGCTGATGAGAGTCTAACATTGTTTTAGATAAGAGTGATGCTCTGCCCAGGACCACGACACTCTTCTCAAGAGCTCCCAGTATCCTTCAATATTTTTCTTATTTCCTCTCTGGGTTCTTTCCTTGACCTGCTTTTTCAGACGTGCAAAGCACAGCGGGCGCTTGTAGGCTATGCAGTGAAAGAAGCCCTCCCCTAGTTCACCATGTGTTGGAGAATCAGCCCAGCCCAGAGCAGAAGCAGCCAGAGGCCGTGGCCAGCACAGCCAGCGCAGCGGTGGCCACAGCTGTGTCCCCAGAGCACGCTGCTGACCCAGCTGTCGCGCTTCCGCTGCCAGAGCTGCCGCAGGAATTTCTGCACCCTTTTGCTCTGCACAGTGCACAGTTAGCCCGTTGCTCCACATTTGTTGTGAATACCTTCCCTGAGCCTGTCTCATATCCTGACTGCTGGTTCTGCCATCATTCATCTGCTGAAACAGGAGCAAGGCAATTTACAGTGATGAAAAGCTGCAGTAAAAAGTTCAGGCGGGTTTTCTCACTCGTGGAGTGAGACTCTGCCTCCATGGTGAATATTAACACAATGCCTTTAGGTCAGCTACTGCTTCCCAACAGGCTAACATCCTCTCTGTCATGGGAGGGAGTTCAAAATTCATTATTGTCCTTCCTCTAACCTTTCACTACATATAAGACCAAAACAAACATGATCTCCATGTCTCTGCAAGAGAGAATTTTTTTCACATCCTCTTTCACTTCACATGAAATTTCTCATAATGACTCCATTTGTAGGTATAGCTTGGCTTTTAATGACATTTTCCTTTACACAAAGAACAGGCACTTTCCATTTCTAGAATTTTTATCTCCTTTTTTCTTCCTTCCACCCTCATGTTTTGGAGAAAAGAACAAAATTGCTATGTGTAACTGACATAGCACTAACAAAGAGCATAGAAGTAAAGAGTTTCTGGTAACTCAAATATCTGCAGACACAGATACTTAAATTTTTCTCTTTTTATTTTCATGTGCAATAACTTAGCCAGAATGGTAAACTGCAGATTTGTAATTTCTCTTCAATTGTTACTAAACCAATATTATCTTTTCTAAGAATTACTGAGAAATTATAGATATTTTAGAAAGAATAAGGACTTTGCTCCATATTACAACTTGAATATTTGGACATAAGTTTGTGTTGAAGTAATTTCTGACATAGACTTTTTTGGTAGTGTAATACTATTATGTCATAACTTTAAATCCTATCTGCTGCACTAATAGTATTATTTTATTATTTTATTTTTGCAACAGCATCTAAATCCATAAAAAAGGAATTCAGTAATTAATATGATAATTACTAATTAGTTATTATAATTAATACGCATAAATAATGTTCCATAGGTTAATTAATCTGTCAAGGGAAAAGTTAAACCAGCTCTGGAGCAACAGTAACCTTGTTGTAAGCTAAAAAAATGACGAGGTATCTCCAAATATAAAAACAATACTGCCATTGGCAGCCTCAGAGACTTTTTCCTGGGCTTTGGCATCCTCCCAGTTATGCACTGATCTCATTTGCTGTTGTAAATTATCAGTGACAAGGGATCTTTGGGAATATACATTGCCCTCTGACAGAGCACTTTCCACACAGCAAGCAGAGCCAGATCACTCTAAGGAACAAGATTTTAGATTATTCCTGTGATGTGTTCTCAACAATTTAAAATGCAGGGCTGCCCATGCTATATTGGACCTCAGTGGTTGGCTCTACTTAGAGAAATGTGCAGCAATTTAACCCAGAGAAAACATGAGTTAGTGTGGCTCAGTCCTTCAACCAAATGGAAAGGTTTCACACTCAAAGTGCTCAAAGCTTCCTACCAGTACACAGCTTTAGGTAAATTATGGATTTCAACTCACACACTCTGCTGTTTCCTGGGTCCTTTGCACCCATAAACCCCACTTTTTTACCCTAGACACTAAAATTTTTCTCTTCAACTGCAACATGAATAAGTGCTTACTGTGCATTATAATTATCTTAGGGCTATAAAATCAATGACAAAGTAATGCAGCAGCTCCCTGGATACTTTCATAAGTACATTTCCACCCCTTTCACACACAGTGACAAGGTTTATTCATGAATCAGAAAAGCAGAAAGGACAAAAAAAGTAAGTGTTGGTGACATAAACGGTGTGATAGAGCTTCCAAATAAATTTCTATAGGCCTGAGCACAAAGGCAGCTGAAAGAGCTTACAGCTTCTCAGCTGCAACTGTGCTTGGTATAAACATCACTGAGTTCACCTTAAAGGAAACCACATTCAAAGTCACTCCCCTGGATTTCAAATCCTCAATGTGATTACACTTAACTGCTTGAAACATAAATGGGGAAGGATGATGAGATAGGAGATGAGAAAAAGAACTAACTTGATATTTAAGAAAAATATTCATAGCACATTAGTATCCACAAAATGTTGTGCACAATAACATTATATTGCAGAACAAGACAATTGTTCCTTTATAAATTTAACTACATTTAGAGGAACATTTCAATTCTGTCCACTGTGTTATTGGAAGGATGTCAACAGCTGGGAGGGAGCTTGGAGAAGTGTACAAGTGTGAATAGGGGGGTGAATATACAGATTTACACTGAAAGACTGAAAGCTGAAGCTAGGTTAAGTTATAATTAGAAATAGATTGTAAGAGTACATGACAGCAACCTGAAAACATGTGAAGGTCAGGGCAGAAATGATTTTTAATAATTTGAATAAGGGAAGAGAACATGAAATAGTAAGATATAAATTAGAACTCTTACACAACATCATAAAGAAATTTCAGCCGTGCATAAAATGATGCACAGAAAGGTGAACCCTGGTCGATTAGTTCCAAGCTCAATCAGAGTAGAGGACACAGTGTTGACACTGATTTTAAAAACAGGTTGCACATAAATATGTGCGAAATTATGCATGCAGCTATTGTATATGAGAAATAAAATTAACAATACTTCAAGTTTCTCACAGAAAATTCAAAATTTTGAGCAGCAAATATGACATTCTAAAAACTTGAAGGCGTATGTTGAACTAAAAAAGCCAGAAATCTAAAACTGACAATGATATGGAATTTAATTTCAAAGATGAATGAATCAGGAAACATGATAGTGGTTATTTAAGTACTTCTTTATATTTTTTTAAAAAAATCCAAATTATCACAGAAATTTCAAAGGTGCTAAAGAGAAAAAAAAATAAAGAGCCTGCATTAGAATTTAGCCTCCCTGTATACAGTGTACACCAGATTTCCACATGTGTTTATCCTTTTATTCTCTAGTATTGATACTTAAAAATGTGTGAAAAGCAACACAGCAGGAAATAGAAAAGTGCCTTTTGTGCAGCATTTCTGGAATTTTGCTAGCACAGTAAAATAAAGACTAAAGATAGCTGCAGAATAACCTTTATATTTTTTCCACCTCCTCATTTCCATGCCGTGAGGAAGAGTGTAAAAAGAATATGACAGTATGTAAACCAGTAGAATTCGTTGTCTCAAGATTGACAATGTTTTGAAACTTGTTGTGGTCTCTTCTTGAGAAAGGTGCCAGCACTAACATCTTCTGCACCTTGTGTTAAATTATCACTGAAATTCATCTCACTATCTGAGAGTCTTGTCCTACTCAAAGTGGCCTAGGCAATACTTCCCAGTCACAGGAATTTATGAGATTAGGAAAAGAAACTTTACAGGGATCTTTGCAGATTGCCAGCAGAGAGAGACAGCTCAACAGGAGGGGTTTGGAGAGGGCAGAAATGGCAGTGACAGGAGTAAGAATCAATGAAAGCCAGGTAAATGCCATGGTTTTTATCCTTGCAATGACAGACAATCTATTTTTTCCTTTCTTTAGATCATTATTGGGAGTATCACCCACACCACATGCACGGTGAATTTGACACCTTTGGAGACAACCATTTCACAGAGCTGCAGAGTGTGCAGCCCCCCCAGCTGCAGCAGCTCTACAGGCACATGGAGATCGAGCAGATGCATGTCTTGGATTCTGCAATCCCAACCACACACATCGGACTCAACCATCAGGTACAGTGACCAACCCCTGCTCTGAATTTCAGATAATGCTAAAGAAAATGGTGCATCAAGGAATGCATAATATTAAGTGAAAGACATTGCTGAAATGAGTTACTCAGGTTCTTAGGGCATGTAAAACACTCCATTCTCAAGAAAAATGTATTTTAAACATTTTTTACCTGGATAATGAGAAATCATGCTCCCCACACTGTCTAAAATGAGAACTGCATTTTATGGAGGTGTTTGGAATTTCAAATTTTTGTTTCATTTGGAATGAAAATCAACTGCAATCATCTGCAATTCTGCAGATGAACTGGAAGCTTTGTATCATCATAGTGAGGGTACCCATGACTATTAAGAAGTAATTCTGAGCTTTGGGGTAGTAGTAATGTTTTAAATATTTCCGAGGAACCCTGAAAGTTTTATATGACTTGTATGAGAAATGCTAACAAAGACAAGTCACTGGCAATTCTACCACGGGCTGAGGAGACCCTACTTGTGCTTTTATCTGGGAGTAAATGAGTCACAAGCCAAAGCACACTGTCTTGTCTTTGCTCAGGTTTTACATTAAGCCAGGCATTTCTCTGTAAAAAAAGATACTCCACTGTGCAGTAGTCACCTAAGCACCAGTGAATTCTCACTGGAGCTGTAAGTATAAGGTGTTCCATCATACTGCAAAGATACTAAGCACAGCAGGTGTGGAAATCACTATTGGTCCTACAAGAATATGCCCAAAGTCATTACTGGGAGCAGTAAGAAAGGTGGGAGATCTTGTGCTAAAGAATTTCCCAATTTACATTAAAGAAATACAGTCCTAAATACAAGACAGAGTAGAGCTGAAGTTGGAGAAAAGAGTGTTTGCTGATGACAGTGCTGCATATAAAGTACCCTTGCTGAAACTTTGTGAGAAAAACCACATGCATGGGCTTATCATTTGGGGTTTCTCTGCTCAAAGCAAACTGAAATTGTATGTTAATACTGTATTAATCAAAAAGAAAGAAGAGAAAAAATAGAATGAGTAAGTTAACACTGACAACAGGAAACTGCAAGCCATCAAAAAATCAGGAATAGAATATAAGATGTAGATACAAACAAAGAATTAGGAACAGAAAGTTACAAATATAGAAAATGCATCATGGAACAGCAGTCTGTGGGAAGCTTCAAGTTGTTTCAGTTGCTCATTGCAACTGCTAACACCTAATGGCCAACCATTACCTCTGGCTAAGGGTAAAGGATGAAAATGAGCCCCTTTAGGGATGTCTTTGGAAGCACTACCGAAAAACAAGAGAGGGCACTTCTGCTTATCCCCGTTCATACCGCTCAGCTATGGTCTTTCATTTCAGGATGAAAGGCAGGGAACTAATTTTGTTACAACTTTTGATAAGGAGCACTGTGATCTCCCTGCCCCACACCCGACCAAGCTGCAGATGTTCGTATGTACAATTCACTGCCACCCTCCTTTTCCTTACCAGCAGGGGATCTTTGGCTTTTTACTTTACTTTACTTTTATTCCTAGAATAGCTCATGCAAATAGTACTTGGCATGCTCTGAAGTTCAGCTTCTGGTGTGTCTCAGTCACAGTCCCAGGCAAAGAAACAGAAGCAGGAAGCAAGTTTTAATCCTCCTCTAAATTCGCTAGTTTTTAACCAGCATGCTTGTGCTGCAATATCAGACTTACTCTTTGCAATAAAGGAAGAATATGCAAAGATACTTCTTTAATTTTCGGTTGATATCACATTACTTTGTGAAATCAAATTTGAAGTTTAACCTGTTCATGAACAAGATTTGTTTGAGAAGCTCTGTTAGCCTGCCAACAGGGGCCTCAGAAATAATAAAATAAGAAAAAAAAATCATTCTGAAGAGAGAATGAAAGAGAAGGTTGGAACGCTGTGAGAACTTTAGAAAGAGGAAAATCACACGTGGGTTCCACAGACCCTGAGAAAACATCAGGATATGGAAAGTAGCTAGTAGTTCCTTAAGTTTTCTCCCTCCAGAACTGTATTAGTAACCTGGCTCTTTATAGCACACAGACTGGTCCTCTGTGACTCTGTCCCAAAACCGTGTGACACTGGATTGCCCTTGCTGGGTTTTAGGTGCAGAGGAAGTCTAAGCAAAGATACAGCAGCCAGGGAAAGTGGGGACAGCGTGGGGAAAGTTTACTCCACATCCCAGGCTGGCCTCTGCTTGGAAGACACCACATCCCCTCCCATGCCCCACTGCAGCCCCAGAGAAGCAGTTCCTTACTCCCATGCGACCTCCCAGAACACTCCAGGTTTCCACAGCCTTTTTCTCCACAGGGGCACCAATCCCCTTCCCCTGTAGGACACTGTCCCACCTTCTCATTCCCCTTCCCCCATGGCACAGTGTCTGCCTTCCTTCCTAGCCCTGCAGCTTTCTTAACCGTAAAAAGCTGAAGGTGGACTGTGGTGAGGCTGAAGTTTCACTCCTGGGGATGTGACAGGAAGCTTACAGGCACTCTTGCCCAATGCTGCCCTTCCTGCAGCCAATCTGCCAACTCATTAACTGCCAGCTGCTGGGCCCCACCAGCCCCTGGCACAGCCTGATTGGCACATTTTAAGGTGGTGCAAAAACTCATCCGAAAAGCAGCACTTGGCCAAGCCCAACACAGTGTGGGTGGTGTGACTCATGAGCACCCACTGCCCACTTCAGTGTCTGAGGGCCCCTGGGGAGGGCATCAGGCTCAAAACATCCTTTCCTGGATGCTCACTTTCAAGGAGCATCTGTCCCGTTTCATGAAATCTACATAAGACATATAAGACATGCTGCTAGGTTTGAGGGATGTTAGTTGGGCTCTTTTTTTTAATGTAGGGACTGGGTTCTTATTCCCTGCTCCTCAGACTGACCTGTTTCAAATTATTAAATAAGAAGATGCAATAATTTGTGGCAATTGGTCATGTTTCCTAGCAAATCAGACCACAGCTGAGAATTTACAGAGCTGAGGTATATTCCACACTGCTTCTGACAACACCTCTATATAAGGGCAGGAGAATTTAACACAAAAACTGGCTTGCTAGCTTTGCAGATGAGAAATTCCCCCCTAATGGGGAATTTTCAGAGAGCCATTTGGGAAAAGAGAATATGGGCTGATATGATATACCCTTTATCTTAGAGTTAAGGCTACTCCTCTCCTCATGGGGGAAGCTGACAGACTGGTATAATTCCATCTCCAGATCTGGATGCAGTCCCCTAGGGTTTCAGTGCCATCAGGAGGTGCTGTGTCTGAGAAAGGAAGAGGACAACAGTGCCAAAGCTAGCCATGACAGGGTGGAACTGTTCATCTCTTTGAATTTAACTCCAGATGGTCTGTGTTAGGAAAAAAGTTGGTCTGAAGAGCAGTTTCACCCTGGGGATAGACAACCAGGATCAGAAACTCATTAGGAAGAAAGCAAGCTTTGGGGAGATATGGGGGAAGAGTGACAGCGTTGCTTGCCTGGGATATAAGATATGAGAAAGTTATGACTTTCACAACGTTATTCATTCTTCCCTCCTGTAAAGGTGCATTGTTGTACTTGTGTAAGTGTTGACTGGTATCTGAAAGTTTCTCCTAATACGATGGCATTTATTACAAATGTCAACAACTAAGTCACTCAGTATTACTCTAGACATTTTCCAATACCTCTCCCTTTCTCCCCCCTTTTCTCTGTGCCTCTCTTCATTACATTTCCTTTTTTAATCTGGATGCCCTGCTGTGTATCACTGCCCTCTCCCTCTACTACTCTGTTCTCCAAAAGGTGTCCTATTTGCCCCGGATGTACTTCTCTCCACCTCAGCCCAGCTCTGACGAGGAGGACATAGAGAGGCAGAGCCCCCCCTTGGAGGTATCAGATGGGGAGAATGATGGTGTGGACCCTGGGCCTGGAATTATGCATGGAGAAACAGGTCAGTGAAAGCAGAAGGATTTTGTCAAGCTATGAACTGAGCAGGTGTTACATTACCACGATGATAGTAAAACTGTAGAACTGCTGTGCTAGTATTTTATGCCGCTGCCAAAGCTTTTCTTTCCTTGACTCCTTGCACCCTCCCATCCTCTGAATCTTTCACAACTGTAACTATCTCAAACCTCATTTCTTAATGTATTCTCCTGCTTCCTTTGGCTTTGTCTATTCAGGCTTCCTGAATGGAAATGGCTTTTGCCATTTCTACTCCAATTTCTATTAACAGCCAGGAAAACCAAGGCAAGAAAGTCAAGGAAGAACCAATTTAAAAAAATATTTAGCTCTTTGCTCAGTATCTGAGAGTCATATTCTGCATAACCTGCCAAAATTAGGTTTAGGTTAGTTTTGAATTAGCAATGTTTTTCAATTAGCTTCAAATTAGCAATTTAATTTCAGAAGTTTAGCCTTTGGAATTACTTACTCTTGCTTATTTCTTCTTGGTACATCAGCCCACATTTTGTCCTCACAGTATTACGTTGTCTACTGTTACAAATGCTGCAAACTGAAGAAGTTATGCCTCTCCCAAGCTAGCTGAAATACTTAGATACTTTCTGCTGTTTCGCCAGGAACTACACACAAATACTAATACTCCACTGGCTTCCTTCTTTGACTCTTACACAGGCAGCAAGAAAAAGATACGTCTGTACCAGTTCCTTCTGGACCTTCTTCGCAACGGGGACATGAAGGACAGCATTTGGTGGGTGGACAAGGAGAAAGGTACTTTCCAGTTCTCCTCCAAACACAAAGAAGCATTGGCACATCGCTGGGGCATCCAGAAGGGCAACCGCAAGAAAATGACCTACCAGAAGATGGCACGGGCTTTGAGAAACTATGGCAAGACAGGCGAGGTCAAGAAAGTTAAGAAGAAGCTGACCTACCAGTTTAGTGGAGAGGTGATGGGAAGGGGGGCCACTGATAGGAAACATTATCCTCACTGAGGCCATGGGACCCTGAGCAAGAAAAAATATTGAGAGCTCCTGGCTGGATACCAGCAGAGGAGATGGACGCATCTTTCTCTTTGCTTCCTGTGCCCCCTTCTCTGCCTTTAGACAGCCTTTATCATCAGATGTTTCTGGTACGAATTCCCTTCTTCAGCATCTGAGAATCCTAATCATGACAGAATTCTTTGCTTCCATCCTCCGAGTTGGACAGAGTCGGGAAATTTAAACAATGTACAAATATATTGTTGTCAGGAAAGATTTTTTTTTTTTTTTTAATTGTAACTAAAGAATACAGCCGATGAAGTTTTGCCTCCAGAGGTGGTGCTGTGTCACTCACAGTGACACCGTGTTAGCTTCCAGCTTTTAAACTAGCATTAATACAGGCTCTGCCGCAGCTCTCAGAGCTAGAGAGAAGTTTGCAGATCTTGGAATGATACCCGTTCTTTTAAATAGTAATAACATGTACATATTTAATAAAATTAGATATAATGAAGTTTTGATGTTTGCATAATAAATGATTACTCCACAAACAAATGTCACACATTCAGTTGTGCAGATACAGCTCCTGTGTGGTGTCTGAACAAAAGGTGCACATTGACATCATCAATGGTGTCAAACTCAGTAACAAAGGTAAGATTACTGTGAAAGAGACTACAATACTGAAGGAAATTTAAAAATACATATATGTATATATTTCTCACTATTTTTTCCTGTGCAAAACCCCTGCCAGTTGAACATTTTCTGGTCATGTATACCAAGAATTGCATTTATACCCCCATCCTGTTTAGAACGTAACAATTAACCATGTTTTCTGTTGTTTTATTTATTTCTCTGCTCCTGTTCTCTTGTTTTGCTTTCCCCCCAAGTGATACCTTGATTCTAGCTTATGAATCTTTCTTGGAAATAAGTTGCATTTAATCATGTCTTTGCAGAATTCCAGTACAGAAGAGTTTCCAGATTTTAACTGTGGATTTTAATCCCTACTGTAAAACAATTAATAGTAACTAATAACAACTGCACTGTATAGATAACACTCAAAATGCAAAATAAATGATAATTCAAAACCTGAGGCACTATGATAAATTTACCCAGTACATCTAAACACTGAAATTAAATCCAAATTTAAGCAACAGTAAGAAAATTAGCATTTTAAGTTTCAACATTTTTTAACATATCTCAACTGTTTCAATCACTCAAAAGTCAGGAAATATCATCATGAATTTCCCAAAATAGATGAGGTGAAATGAGGCAGAACGAGAATGAAGAGAAGGGGGTTTTTCAACAATATTGAAATGCAGTACAACATGCCAAATATCACTAAATAACTCGAAATTTTTCAGAGCTTGCTCCTCACTGGAACCAGAAATAGTTGAAAGTGATGAACTTCTTACAGACCTGAGATCTCAAAATTAAATCCAAACACACTCAGTGTTATCTGCACTAACAATCTCACTGTGGAAGGGAAAAGTCTGGTGATATCACAGCCTACAGCATCTCTTTGGAGCCAAACAAGAAAGAAGCTCCTGCTTAAAAAAACATCACAAAGTACTATTTCCCAATTCTTATTCCCGGTTCTTGAACATGATAAAGACACCAGTCAGTGCCAAAAACTAACAGAGAGTTATCTTTCATGCTTTTAAAAAAATCTTGTCATTCAACTTGTAGTTACTGTGCTTTGAGGATCATGTCAAATATTCTTCATTCACTTAGGATAAGTCACATTTAGAAGACATTTTGTTTTTAAAATTGTACTGGAAGGATTTACTTCCTATAGGAAATAATGTAGTGCTCACTAAATTGGACTTGGATAATTCCATCTGCATCTGTATTGAAGTTTCAGGATGGAAGCTGAAGATGTTGAAGGCAGTTCTCAGAAGACTAGAACACCCAACTCTGACACAATTAAAATTCCTCCTTGCTGAGCTAGAAACTCAGGACTTCTGTGTTTGGTACTGATGAGGACTCTCCACTGCTGGCCTGGAATTGAAAAGAGATTAAAGACATTTGTACTCATCAGACTTGCAGACTTGTTATTCAAGAAAACTAGAGTAATAATTCCTCTCTTCATAAAAATATCTTTATCACAAACACAGCTTCAAAAGCAGAACTGATCCTTCTCTGACACTGTAATTTGGAGGAGAAGGATCATTTCCTCTTGTAGGATAACTATGATAACTGAAAAGAGCCAACGGGTGAGTTAATTGTGGAGATGCTTAGGATATCACAAAAGCCATTTCAAGCTTACCAAAAAGCTTTCTAAGATCTATGACACCTATTTTTCCATTTCCCTAGCAAGTCATGCATAAAATCCAATTAGATGCTGGAGAAATAATACAAAATTAAAATAAGAATTCAAATAGAAACAACAAGAACCTTTAAATGAGCTACTTGAGCACTGTGCATTACTATAAAATGTTAATTTAGACCAACTACTTATAATTGAATTAAAGAATTTGCATTTTACACTGGTTTTGACCACAAGAAACATGGAAATCAAAGATTCTGAGAAAATTATTTAGGGGGGGAGAGTATTATTAATAAATAAAACATTTTAAAAAGTAGTATTGAATATACTTTAACAAGCAAGTTTAAAATTTTATCTCCAAAGCTGAAAACTTTTTCTCTTCCTCTTGTTAATGCTTTGAAATACTGTTTCTAAAAATATTCACTCCCCATCTGTTTCTGGTTAGGTTTTTCATCTGTGGCATGAAGAGTGAATAATCATGTGTTGCAGCTGTGAAGGAGACCAAAGGATGATGCTCCTCTGCCAGAGTGCTGTTGGTCTGCCACACAGTCCAACTGCTGGGGACACTGGGCTGTCCGAGCAAGCTGAATTGTCACCATTCAGCTGCACAGGCAAGCAGAAGCTCCTCGGCCGTTTTAGACAAAAATACCAAAACGAATATGACTAAATCACAGGTTCTGCAGAATTACAGAGGAGCAAGCATTCCGTTTTCTCTGAAGGTGGCCAAGTACCAGACAGACAGACGTGATCCAAAAAGGTCAGGGGGAGCCACTGTTTGGAGAGATGACCCATGATTAGCACAAGTTCATTGGAATATTTTGCAGCCCACTTCTGTTAAGAGATCATCAATCCTCTTTCAGAGCAAGTATTTGCTGCTGCTGGATATTCAATTTCTAGCAGCCTGCTTTAAAAATCAGCTTTATTAGCCACTGAGTGGTTCCTAATCAATTCGTGTGGAAAGATTATTCAGGAAACTATCAGTGAGCTAAACTCAAAATACAGAACTGCACCTACAGCATATTAGGCTCCCTCTAGCTGTACATCAGAGGCATCAAAGGTAGAAAAATTGCATTGACTATACTGATAATCTGCTAATAATAATATACAGTGGTAGCACATATTTTTAAATTCTACTCAGTCAAAGCAAGTTTTAGACATTTCTAGATGTAAGCTACTACTCACCTGCATCAGACAGACTGCAGTTAATGGTGCTATTATTTATTTTTGTCTGAAAACACACATTTATTGAATCTTCCAAACTTCCTGAAAAATGTATACACACACATCCCAATATATCTGTTGGAGGTTTTTCATCTCCTCCTTAAAGAAATTTTATCTCTATACCCTCATTTCGAGATTCATACACTGACAGAGCCTTACAATCCATGTTTGTCTTCACTTGTGGTTACAACAGGGCTTAGGCTCTGTACATTGCCAGGTTTCTTCAGCAAGCCTTTTGCCTTAGTTTGTTTTTCTATTTGTAACACTTAATCTCTTTGCCTGTCTTCAATTTCTTCCTATTTTTTTCCTCCCTCATTCAAATCTTCACACAACAAAATTCATTTCATTCATTGAACTCAATTCAAACTCTACTGCCAGCTTCATAACTAGTACATATATCCCATGACAGTTCAGTTCAGTCTATTTATACTGTTGTTCGAAATTTTCCTTCTACTCTAGCTGCAGATTGTAAATTCATAGCAAAGACTTTATTACTGATGACAACACAATGAGCATTTTTCCTTTGAGAATGCCCAGAACAGTATGTTCTCAATGGAAACCCCACACTTGTGTATTTAAAATTTAGAGATTATGGATAGAAAAGACTATGATATGATACAGACTGTGGTACCAGTTCCAAGAATTTGCATTTATTTCTAATTTGTTTTGTGTGTTACCTTGCTATCTTACCACCTTTTCTTCTTCTAAGAAATATTCAAATCAGATTTACATAGTATTGCATACACATATACTTAAAGCACTAAAAATGTAGTGCTTGTAATAAAAATGCAACTGTAATGAACACACTGATATATTATAGTCAAGTAGGTGAAGAACTTGCTCTTTAAAGAAACTGTAACAATAGCTAAAACTTCACCAAGTTTCACCTTTTTTCTCTGACAAATTTGCACATTGCAGTTCAGTTGGCTCAGCTGAGCCTGTGCTATTAGAGAGGTGTGTATATAAACCAAATAATCAGAGTCCTATTCCAAGAGCTGGGGAATGTGAACAACTTCCAAAGAACATGCAAACAGCAGTAGGCTGAGATATTCTTTCTCATTTCCTCACTCATAACTCATCAGTATCTGCCTTAGCTGCACACCTCCCATCAGCACACAGGATCACAGAGCCTGATGATCACAACCTGGGTTGGAAGGGACTTTAGGAGGTCACCCCATCCAACCCCCTACTCGAAGCAGGACTATTAGATCAGGTGTTTCAGGGCAACTTTCTTTTCATTCGGTGTTTCTTTCCATTCTCTCCACTCATCCAGCCACATCCTCCTTCTTCATGCCTTTAGTTCCCCACAGTGTTACTTTTTGCTATTGGGGAGCCAAAGCAGTACGTGAGAATGAGCAGAGCAGTCTATGGACAGGAGGGGAATGAGGATGTGGTGGAGCAGATAAGGGTTAGCAGGAGGTGGTGGAGGAGAAAGAAGGGTGGGAGGGGGTATTGGGGAGACCAAGGTTATGCAAAGGATTGGGGAAGCGGCTTTGTGGTAGGAAGGAATGCAGTTTCTGTGCCTTAAGGGCTCCCTCTGAGCTGCTGGTTAACTCCCCAGCAGCAGAGCAGCAGCACTCTAGGTATAAGAAGCCTTTGGCCACCGGTGGCTTTGTGCAGAATGCTTCGATTCCTCTGCCTTATGCAAAATGAAGAATGTTTGGGTGCTGAGCTGGGCATTTGCATACACAAATAAGTTTGGGTTCTTTTAGATTTACCTAACTAATTTTCTGAGTTTTGGGTGTCTGCTTTCAGAAATATAATTTTAGATCTCTTCTCTAGAAATGCCCTCTTCCATTTTTTACCACTCACTCACACTGTGCTTTCCTTTTCCTGCCATCCTGAGCTATCAATTCCCAGCTCTTTGTTCAGCTTTTCTCCTGCCTAGATTCAGCCAGTTGATGCCTCCATATTTAGTAGATTCCAACTGCTTTATTCTCCATTTTCAACTTTTGCCCAGCTAGTTTATTGCTTCCTCTCAGGCCAACTTTTCTCATATATGCCTCCAGTCAGCTTCTCTTTATGTGAATGGTTCTCAGTTCCAGTGTATTTGTTCAGCCATTTACAGTTTTCCCATCCCACATCCTCTTACAGTTTCAAGCTTATCACCAGTTCTCTTCCCTCCACCCCATTTCTATCCCAGCTCCCCATCTAATATTCTTGTCCTTTGAGAGTCTATTTCAAATCCCTCCCATATCACTTAGAAAAAACAATTTTCTCTCTTCATTCATGCCCTTCATTCACACATTTTTATTTCCTCCTCCCACTCAGCTTGGTGTGATTCCTTCCCTCTCTGAAGTTCCAGCTAATTTCCCCCCAGCCCTGCAGGTTCTCCCCTTTATTTTGATGTTCCTGAGGGAGATAGTATTTGGAGCACATCACACAAAGGCTGTTTGCTTTTAGTTCAAGTGTGTGGATTAAGTCCAAGTCCCACATTAGCCCAGAGATAAATGCATAGAAAACTCTGCTGACCCCTGCACAGGACCTCATTGACACAAACAAAACTCCTTCAGAGGATGAAATATAGAAAGTTCTCACTGAGCATATGCAGACTCCATAGTCTAGAAAATGCAGCAACTCAGGTTGTTTACCATGAAG